CGAGCCAACTTCCGTCCCCAGCTTCTGCAGGATTCTTTGTTCTAGTCTAGGGTTATCTCTAGAGTCATATTTTCAACCAGGAGCAATAGAGGAAGGAGGCGTGAAAACTCCTAAATTCGCAAACACGCTCACGTAGCCACCAGCATGGACTAGGTTCACAATTCTTTTGAGTTTTCAATCCCAGATCCCAGAAAGCTGCCTGCTGGTGCTTCTCCTGCAGATCTGTGATGTTTATGACATTCTTTTTCTACCGTTTGGAAGAAGGACTGATGATTAGGTCTCACTGCCACCAAGTCCATTGTGACCCGTGCCACCAGGGCTCCCCCTGCATAAGTAGGAATCACCATTATTGTTGTCATTGTTAGGTGCCATAGATTCATCTTTCCACTCATAGGGGACACAACTCACTGCCACTGAATGGATTATGACTCATAAGAACCTATAGGATATTGTAGAGCTGCCCCTGTGGGTTTCGAAGCTTTACCTCTTCACAGGAATAGAAACCATCGGTTTCCCGGGGAGCAGCTAATGGTTTAGAACCGCTTCCCTTGTGGTTAGCAGCTCAACGATTAACCCACCACACCACCGGGGCAGTGTGTTTTGTCCTGTGCATCTGTGAGTTTGCATGAGTGTGCATGTATGTGAGCATGTACGAGAGTAATTGTGATTCAGCTTTTGATCTACACAGAAAGGCTTGAAAAAACAGCAACTTTTCTTTGGAGCGCCAATGGGCATCTTCTTTAGCAAGCACTTGGGAGAGCAGTGAAATTGTCTCCATCCCTGGCCCGGGCCCAGGGAATGATTTGGGTGTTGGGTCCCTCCATGCACCTCCACATTCCCCTCCACCCCCCAGTCTCCCTGGGCCCCTAAGCACCACACAGACTTCTGAGAGCCCAGCCCTCGCCCTGGGGCCCTGCGCCCAGGGCTGGATGGATGGGCACACTTTGGTTCTGCACCGGTCCTCACTCACTCATTGGGTCTGCTAATGCTTTCACTAGGAATTGGGCAGACCATTGGTTTTTCCACAGCCAAGGACATTGTCAACAGTGGCATCTCTAGTTTAAAGCTATGCAGGCCTAGAGACCTGGAGTGGGGCCCCGATTGACAAAGTGGGGTTCCCAGCCTGTCTCCCTGTGCTGCCCCTCTCAGTAAGCTGCCTGCCTGCCGCCAGCCTCCACCCTCTTCTATCCTCCATTACAGCAAGCCATATCTCAAGTACGTATCCCTCTCTTTCCGAGGGGGAAGAAGAAAGGCCGAATCCACAGGTCCAAGTAGGAGTTTAGACCAAGGATTTCCACATCCAGACACTTGTAAACCGCCCTCACCCCCAAGTCTAGGTTCACTGAAGTCCTGATGACCCAGGACAGGAAACTATTTTTGGGCTAGGCAGCTGGAGGAGAAATATACAATCGCAATAGTTTCCTAATTTTATGAAACAACCCCCCTCGAGCCCGGTAAAGGATAGAAACCCCCCTGAAATCAATCTGATCAGTTCCATGATTGATTCTCTTACACCTCCTACACCCCATCCCCACCCCCACCCCCGCTCCTCGATCCGTCCTGTTTGTTTTAGTTACGAAATGTTATGGGCATCTCAGTTGTGACTGAAAAGTAACCTTGAAACACGGCGGCCTGAATGTCAGAGACAAATCGCAGCCTCTCAACTGTCGGTCGCATCTGGCAGAGCTCCCGCCAGCCGCCACCACTCCTCCGGTCGCAGGCCAGCGCTCAGAGGAGCCCGAGAGCCGAAGCGACCGGACCCCGCGCGCTGGGCGCGCCTGCGGAGGCCACGGTGGGTCTCAGCTGTGTGTGTGTGTGTGTGTGTGTGTGTGTGTGTGTGGTGGGTGGGGTTAGGGGGGTCCCGGGAGCTGCGGTTGCCAAGGTAAAGGTGTGTGCACCGTTCCACGCTTCCCCAGGAAAGGAGCCCAGCGAACGAAGAAACCTGAGCCGGCTAGAGCGCGTTCCGGGTGGCCTGCGCCTTAGGGACGCACCCGGTTGGGCGCCGGGCACTGGCCGGCCCGGGGCTCCAGGCTGCTCCCCAGTGGCCCCCCTCTCACCTCCCTTCCCAATTTCCGAAGTCCCCCCCCCACCCCAGGGCCCTAGAGGAAACGGGGGCGGCCGGGGCGCGGCAGCAGGTGCCCGCCGGAGCGTCTCACTTAGGTGTGAGCTGATTATTCAAATGGCCTGCTGAGGTCTGGGGATTGGCGGCCGCCCCCGCGCGCCCGCGC